TTAAAGTGTTTTGCCTGCAGTTTTGAAACTACACTTCCCACAGTAGTCAATCATGGTTTAAATTAATCGGTGTCAGTATGTTGTTGATTCGGCCTCATTGTTATCCGTTTATTACAATGAAATCACGGCAAATAAGCGAACTAAATGTACTTACTTGGACCGAGACCGACTCACATACACACGCGCGAGCACACTAACAAACACAGCCACACGTGCGCCATGCCCAACACTAGCGCTGACCTAATGTCAGCGCTAGCTTGATAGCTAACATTAGCAATACATCGTGTCATGTACATACACACGTCCCCGTAATTGTAAGATACCGAACGAATACAGCACTATATTGGAAAGGGGTACAAACATTTATTGAGCAGAAACATTTCAGAAACTTACTTTTGGAGACTCTCACAGAGGTTGGCTTTGTGTAACCAACTGTTACTTTTCGCGATTGTCGACACCTCTTCTTCTGTACTTTTTTTCGGCAGTTCCTGAGGACCAATCACAGCTCCGGACGCCACTTGAATATATACTGCATTTCCGGTTCTAACCCCATTCGATTACATGGATTAAAATGTTTCAATTAAATCACGTTCAGTCAAAGCGATTTAAATACAGAGATTTAACAAATAAATGTAATAAATGAAGTCTGCTTAATTAAATCACATTCAGAGACAGAACATGAACTAATTCCGTTGCATTTACTGTTTTTATTTGTGTAAATTCAAAGAACCTCTATGTCATTTTTTTTCAGTGAATGAGTCTCATTCATCAGCTACAGCAGATTTGGCCAAGTATTTAATACATCGGGAAATGATTAGCTCCGGGCTATTGCAGTTTGATGACCAGCCGGAAAACGATTGGGCCTGGAAAGCATCATTCCTCAGTTCCACAAAGGGCTTGAACCTGTTATCAAGAGAAGAGCTCGAACCTCCTGTGTAAATGGCTTGGACCGAAATCCTTTGAACATGCAAAGAGAATCAGATCAGTTCACATCCATAATGCGGCAGCAGGTGTCAATATGCTATGGCAAAGGTTGGAAGATTGTTATGGGTCACCTGAAGCAATACAAAATGCGCTCCTCAAAAAAGTCGATGATTTCCCAAAAATCAACAACAGAGAAAATCAAAAGTTGAGGGAGCTGGGAGACATTCTTCTGGAGCTTGAAGCCGCCAAGGCAGATGGATTTTTATCTGGTCTGAGCTATAGACACATCCCGTGGCATCACTCCCATCCCAAGCTGCCATATTCCCTGCATGACAAGTGGGTCTCTCTAGCATCACGTTACAAAGAAACACACAGAGTATCGTATCCACCATTCTTCATCTTTGCAAAGTATGTTTGTGACCAAGCCAAGATACTCAATGATCCAAGCTTTGCCCAGCTCACAGGTGGTCCGAGTATAAGCAAGACTGAGGAGCCTTTCAAACCCAACATGAGAAAGCCACTCTCTGTAAGGAGGACAGGTGTCTCAGCAGACTTTGATAACAGCTATGAAAGCTCAGCAGCAAAAATAGCTGTCGACCCAGATAAGCAATGTCCACTCCATCACAAACCACACCCTCTCAGGAATTGCCGTGGTTTCAGGTATACATCTCTGGATGAGAGAAAAGCCTATCTTAAGGATTTGCTTTAGGTGCTGTGCATCAACCAGCCATCAAGCCAAAGACTGTGACAAAAAGGTTCAGTGCAGAGAGTGCAACAGTGACCGCCACCCTACTGCACTACATCCAGGACTGGCTCCATGGACAACAGGGGCTGCCGTAACCTCAAGATATCAAGGCGGGGAGCAAGGTGAATCTCCTCATTTCGCTGTCACGTCAAAATCTGTGGGACTGAAGTAAGGCAAAGATCATGCACCAAGATTTGTCTAGTCAGAGTGTATCCAGCAGACCAGAGAGAGAGAGCTGTCAAAATGTATGTTGCCCTAGATGAGCAGAGCAATAAGTCCTTGGCAAAAACAATTTTTTTTGAACTCTTCAATGTTAATGATGACACAGCATCCTACACACTGCTGAAGACATGTTCAGGAGTCTTTGAAACCTCAGCGCGACGAGCAAACTATTACATAATGGAGGCATTGGATGGCAAAACGTGTATTTCACTTCTCACTCTAATCGAATGTGATGACAGATGACAAGTCTTAAATTCCCACGCCTGAGATCGCAAAACCGAGTTGAGGACAAGATCTCTGCACTAGATTTTACGGCAGACATTCTCATACTGCTTGGCCGAGATATACCACAGGCACATAAAGTTCGGGAGCTGTGCAATGGACCCCACAACGCCCCGTATGCTCAACGCCTCGACCTAGGTTGGGTGATCATAGGAGAAGTCTGTCTTGGAAAATCCCACAAACTAGACAGCGTCAATGTCTACAGGACAAATGTGCTGAGTAATGGACGTACATCTCTTTTTGACCCTTGCATTAACAATCTGCACATCAAAGAGCGAGTGGACACTCCAACTCTCCAACACCCTGTCCTGCCGGGGGTCCTGCCAACCCTATGTCCTGTCCCGTTGGAGGTCCCGCCGACTACTCTTCTGCCGGGGGTCCTGCCAACCCTATGTCCTGTTCTGTTGGGGGTCCTGCCTACACATGTCCCTCCGACACGGGTTACTGTCCCGCCGACTCCTGTCCCGCCGACAACGGTTATGGTCATGCCTACTCCGAAACCTGTCACGTCCGGGGTCTTACCGTCTCCCAATCCCAGTACTCCTGCACCTCTGGCGATCCAACGGACTCTGGAGGGGTCCCATCGCGGCCTACGCCACCCTCCTGCCAGTCCTCCGGAGCTGTCCCGTCCCCGCCTTCCTGCCCGTCCTCCAGAGCTATCCCACATTGGCGACAAGAATACCTTGCAACACTACAACCAAGAAGAAAATGGCAAGCAGATAATCTTTGCAAATCGGAGACGTTGTGCTTCTGAAGGACAGACAGGTCAAAAGGAACGAATAGCCTACTGGTCTTATAGTAAATACCTTTCCTGGTCCGTAAAGTGGAAGTACGGGTGATTAAAGAAGGTTCTCCCAGGGTGTATTCAAGACCAGTCTCGGAAGTTGTTCTCCTTCTCAAAAGGACTTAGTGGTATTGTACATTATATCAAGCGGGGAGTGTGCTGCCCCTTTAAGAGGGCCTGCAAAGGGTTTTGGGTTTTGCACTGGGTGTCCATAAATGCTTGCCGTAGTTTCCTGTTTCTGGCTGATGGAGCACATGGGTTGTTTCCTGTCAACTAAACCCTTGCTCAAATCCTAGGGTCTTTATGTCTGTAAGTACCATTCCATATATTGTCCGTGTATACTAAGTTGCACATTTAAATTGATTATGCAAACATGAAGAACAATGAATGATGCTAAACTTGTTAGCCTGTGAACAGCAGTGGAAATGTTTGTAGCATTTATGCTAACAGGCACTCTGTTGTTTGGAATGTTTGTTTTAGTCTTGTTTCTTTGTTTATTTAGTGTTTAATGTGACAACGTCTCATGCCTTTGGGTTTTGTTTGTATTTCAGTTTTACAAAATGAAATGGAAATGAAAATAGAACTTAATCAGTAAACATCCAAAACTGAGCTGCTGTCTCCTGGGTGTTTATTTCCGTGTTAAGCTATCTGCCAAGCCTAGAATCTAAAAAGTATTCTATGTGTATTCTTTACTGTCGGGTCACTTATTACAGGTTCAGCGAGCTGCACAAGACTGATACTAACGGGCTGTCAGGAGAGAGAGAGGAAAAGAGAGCACCCCGTTTATTTTTCCCATTTTATTATCCAGAATTACTGTAAACTTTTGAATAAAGGAGTTAATCTACTATTTGTAGTTTGTTTAAATGTATTACTTGTGCTGTTTTTTTCATTTACATAAAATACATCTCACGTACCCCCTGCAGTACTCCAACGTACCCCTAGGGGTCCACGTACCCCCATTTGAGAACCACTGCAGTAGAGGGCAGAGCCTGTGTGAGATATAACAGGGGGTTACGTATTGTAACCCTAGTTCTATAAGCACAGGCGGAGCCCTCTACCTAGGGGCCCTGTCTTTCCTATGCCGCTCGCTGAAGAGGGTGCAGGATGACAGTCAGGAGGTGTGGCCGCCTTATATACTGTGTGCCTGTGCGCGCATTCAGGTAGGCTCGCCCTGATTGGCCGGCTACGTTTATACAAACTCAGTGTGTGAACACTCGCGTATAATTGATGAGAGTAGTACCCATAGAGTCCAGTAGAGGGCTCCGCCTGTGCTTATATAACTAGGGTTACAATACGTAACCCCCCGTTATTATCTCATGTAAATTAATTAAAGTAAATATATAAGTGGTCATGAACACATCTGCCCATCGGACAGAGGGCTGCTGTGCCTCCTGTCATCATTAATGGACGTCTCTTTAAAATGACCGCTCAGAGGAGAGGAGTTCTCATTTCTCTAACTGCCTGCTGCTTCCCCTCCTCTCTCCTCGGTTCCCCTCCTCGGCTCCTCCGCTCACATCTCCTGTGGGCGGGACTAAGACACGAGGAAAGGCGTTGAGGAGGGGAGTCGAGGAGGGGAGTCGAGGAGGGGAGTCGAGGAGGGGAGTCGAGGAGGGGAATTAGAGAAATGAGAAACCTTCTCTGTCTGCCCTTTTAAATCTCTTTTTTAAAACCCACTTTTATGCAATTTTATTGTTGTTGTACTTCCTTTTGTTACTTTTATTTTCTCTTTTAAAATGTGTTTAGTTGCTTTAGTTCCTTTCATTTTCTGAATTATAAAGGTTTCTGCTTTTATGTGACAGCACTTTGAAACTTAGTTTGAAAGGCGCTTTATAAATAAAGTGTATTATTTATTACCTATTCTATTACCTAGAAAGAAATATAATTTTTTTAAAAACACGTCTAAGTCTGCCGCCATACAAACACATCAGCATTGGATCTCCTTTAACTGTGCATTAGCTTATACAGAGCAGGCCTCTCTGTGTGTTTCCTGAATGTCTAAGCGGATGTTCATTAAAGTTGATTTAAAGACTCGTATCGACTTACCTTCACAACTTCTGGAGCCAGATAAGAGTGAGTCTCCTTCAGTCGGGATATGGAGCTGTGGCTCAGCCCCCCCACCACCCGCCATCAGAGTGTTGAAGTTCTGCAGAAGCAGGAGTTTCTAGTGACAGTGAAATACATGGAGATATATACAAAATATAATAGAATACAAGACAACCATCAAATAATAGCTTTAAGTAGTATGAACACATTAGTTTGTTTCCTAGGTACATTTAATGAGATTTGGCATCAGATTTCAGTCCAGAGGTGATCTAAATACTGAATTGATCAGAATATATTTATATTTCAGTGTAAAAATGGCTTAACACATTGTTGGAAGTATGCTTATTTGCTTTCCTGCTGAGAGTAAGATGGGACGATTTAGAGCACACTCAGTTTGTACATTAAATGCGAGGCTGTCGCTCTCAGGCGCTTCACTTATCTGTCTATCAAAGTACACTGACTTCAATTCTATATGTTAATCTGTATAATAATATTGTATATTCAATAGAGATACTCTAGGATACATATTTCACTGTTGATATGAACTTTTCTCCTTTGGTAATTTGTTTAATTCTTACTGTACATACAGATATATTTGCTGTTTATGTTTGTTTTGTATTTAATTGAATATTTCGTTCATGTGAATGCTTGTCTTCATGCTGCTGTGACAAAACTGGGATCAATAAAAGTACATGTATGTCTTATCGTATCCAAACACAAACAGTAACAACATTAGCATGTTAGCAACATATTATTTCTGCTCAAGAGAACAAAAAAACATATTGATGCACGTTATTTCCCTACATGCACTACAGCAAGGGTTTTTGGTTCAGGATGTCAAATAATGCTCAGTATACAGTGTCAGCTGCATAACATGCAGTCAGATACATAATGAACCCCATAATCACAATATTAGAGCATTTGGAGCTGGATGGATCAGGATGGTGGTACAAAGGTAGAGATAGAGTTAGCGAATCAGAGTGCTCGCTGCAGCAGAGAGCAGCTGCTAGGTTTGGAGAGCAAGGACTATAGAATAATAGTGATTCAACTGATGGAGCGGAAACCTGTGATTTTGGAGGATGCTATCATTTATTTTGATATTTCAAACAAACATCAATGTGTCGAAGAAAACAACCCATAATACTCTGATGGCCCTGAGGTTAATACAGTGTGTTCTGTGAGAGCATCAGTGAGAGCCTGGCAGCAGGACACCATCTCCTCTGCTCTCTCAATAGATGAAGATGAGTCTTTCTGTATATTTGATGATATAGTTTCTTCATGAGAAATTGAAGATGGGATCAATACGTTTGGACATTCATGTGACAGGAACCTGGAATAAGATGTAATTTAACCAAAGAGATGTTAGACTCTCTTCATTAACGCAGATGCTGATTCTGAGATGATCATGTGTTATTGATTGCAGTTATTATTAGAAATGTATGAGAGTGGTTTTAAAGATATGCTGCCTTGGATCAACACTATAATTCACATTCATACTGTGATGGTCTATTGAAAATATGGTAGGTGAATACAACTGAAACAGTTCTGTAGCAGTGTTTATATTCTTCAAAAATGTTGTACGATTTTCAAACATATCAATAAAATATTATGTTAATTTTCATTTCATATTAAGAAATACTGAAACACTCATGTTTATTCGTTAGTAATTAAATCCTATATTACTACATTTTTATATAGATATATATAAATAATCATATAAATAAAAGTGACAGCCTCAGTGAAGGCATCCACACTTGTGGTGCTGCATTCTGTACAAACTCAAGCCCTTCAGGACAGTGGATATGGGAAGCACATCTAACAATTGTATTTATTATAGACCTATTCCAGACATTATTTAGTAATTATAATTAACATTGAGATAATATTTATTTTGGGCTCTATTGTAATTTCTTTCATACTTTATAACACATTTTAATACAGTACGATAGCTGTTTTGCTAAATGGGCACATATTGTGCTTGGTTTCTTTTCTGTTACATGAAGCATCCTGAACTAGTTTAAGAAGACTTTGTGCTTAAACAGTCCCAAGGACTTCAGATGCATGCACACTATTGAAATACTTATAATAACCTACACTATATGCTTGTCTGCCTTTTGATGAGCGATGATTAATAACCAAATTAATTTATCTTGTAATTGTGTAAAAATCTTCATTCACTTATGCAGTACTTTCTTTTAATGCTGTAATACAATATTATCACGAGATTAGGCCTCCAGAAAGGTTATTCTATAGTCCACACCAAAAAAGCCAAAGCGTGCCTCAGTATAGCTCAGTTGGTAGAGCTAGTGGCCCATACTGCAGGATCTGGGTTTGAATCTGGGTATGGTCTGGGACCCTTAGCCGTGGGTCTTCCCTATGTCTCCCCCTTTCAACCCTGTCACTTAAATAAAGGCACTGGTTGCACAAAGAAAGCAAAAGCAATGATGTGATGAGCTACTTTTCTAAAGAGGGCTTTTGTTTAGAGTTGACAAAACGTTACTGTTGCATCTGAGTCATGAGCAGCATGAATATCAGACAGAAGGTTCTGTTTCTGTCTGGTGAGGAGTTCAGGACAGGGTTTAAAGCCTGGACCATATGGACCTGCTCTTGTCCAATCAGCTTTCTCTTTGGTTCTGTTGTCAACCTTGAATAAATATTTCTAAACCGTATTAGATGAAGAGAATGCTAGCCATGCACAGTCCATGTTTTGTGGATAAAAAACCCTTGAGAGCCCTGCAGATGGAGATGTCTTACCTGAGCCACGTGGATGTATTTGGTGATGACCTCTGCGCGGGTCTGAGGCGTGAGCTTGCTGAGCACCATCAGCTGGACCCACTGCGACACTCCGTTGAACAGAGCGATGGAGCGCTCCAGAGTCGGGTTCTCCATCAGGCAGCCGTGGATCACATAGCTTTGGTAATCAGTGAACTGCAGATAAAATGGTTTTCAAATATCAGTCAACATTCAATCTAGACTTCAGAGACTGTCAGGGATTTTCAGTTGGTACTAAAGCCTGTTTCGTTCTTTGCACTGCAAAGTCACACTGTTTTTCTTATTGGTATAAAAAAGGAAATTATGGAAACCTAAAAGCCATGTTATACTCGAGTCTAGCTTAAAAGCAACCATCCCCATGGAACCACGAATGTGATTTTCAAATGTCATGTCTCTATCATTTACCTACAAGTTTTAAATATATATTTTATTTGAAGTTAAAATTGTGACCTGACAATTATGGCAATCTACCAATGAGTTTTTAGTGTTTTTATCCACAGCTCAACATGTGTCCTGATAGAGCCAGAGGAAGGTCAAGTGGTCACACACAGCAGCACTGAATCGTAATTATTAACTAAAGCAGAGGCTCCTTACGTCATTACATTACATCTTGAGTCGGTGCGCATCATTTTACGTAATTAATCATATATTTTCGATTATAAGGAGTAGAAATATGATTCAGATATCCGCGGAATCGCTGGAAGAGTAGCTTTCCAGCGGTATCTCCTGTGAGACTGTAACCAGGGCACAGCAGCCAATATGGCCGCTCAAAGCAGCTTGACTTTACACTGTGTGGGATTGGTGGATTGGTGTGTCCGTCAAGGAAATCTCGGCCGGCAGCCATCATGGTCTGAAATGACCAATGGACATCGATAAATCACTAAGGACCTACCCACCAAGTAAACAAAACATAAACCACGTGTCTCCCATCAGTTTAGGTCTGTGAGGAGAGAGAGAGAGAGACAGAGAAATTGGCTAAAAAAAACGTTACAGTTGCCGACTTCGCTAGAGATTTTTTTCGCTAGCAGTGAAGATAGAGCCTCAGAACCTGAAGTCTTCGACTCTTCTGAAGAAGAAGAAGAATACAAAGACAACAACAAGGATCCATTTGGACATGGGTAAGTGTAAATATTACAGTAATAGTGTACTGGCAATGTGTGGGGAATACCGCGAAAATGAACAATAGGTTTATTGATATATATTTTGTATCGATAGTCATGAACTTTTTATTGGACAAAATAGACTCTCCATTAGCAAACGTTTACTCTGTGTTAACGTTATTTTGGTGTGTAAAAGTGAGATTACATGTGTAGATGATTAAATTAATCATTTATTCGTCCCACAACGGAGACATTTACAGTGACATGTTTTTGCCATCGATTATTTTATCATACTGTTCTGTACAGATGAGACTTTGTCATAGATTTATTTATATGTGTGCCTGTTATTATTTTACCGTTCTGTACAGATGAGACTTTGTAATCAGATGTAGCCTATGTGTGTCTGTAATTGTATACTGAATGTAAAGTAACTGGAAATGTGTGTGTGTGTGTGTGTGTGTGTGTGTGTGTGTGTGTGTGTGTGTGTGTGTGTGTGTGTGTGTGTGTGTGTGTGTGTGTGTGTGTGTGTGTGTGTGTGTGTGTGAGAGAGATCGAGAGAGACTCCTTCTCCAACCTCCCAAACTTTATTTTTATGTGTGCATTGTTATTTGTGCTTGAGCAACATTTTACTTGAACTTTATTTCAATGAAATTAGTTGTAATTATTGTCCTACATTTTAATTTGGTTTACAGAGATGTTTCACAGCTGCCTGGGCCTAGTGGCCCACAGGCGGCGTTCATCCAGCAGCCAGAACATCCATCTGTGCCGGCCCCCAGGTCAAGATCTACTGTGGCTCAAGGGCCTTCACCAGAGCCATCACCACCAAGGACCAGCAGACCAGCATCACTACAGCTGCTTCTACCTCCATCTGCGGCTGCCACCAGGTCAAGATACACCTCGGGACAAAGGCTCCACCACAGCCATCACCTTCAACCCAGCCAGCAAGGAGGTCTCGTGGAGGTCTCGTGGAGGTCTCGTGGAGGTCTCGTATAGCACTTGTACACCCCACCTACACAGCAGCCCATGCACCATCACCCCCATCTTCACAGCAGCCAGACCCACTGTCTTGGAAGACAGACAAAGACCTTGACACTGTCTTGACATTTATAATGAATAGTTGGTTGAAAGTTCTGATGTTCAATATTGTAAATAGTTAGATTTTCCAGTTTCTTATATTTATATAAATAGTTGGTTGAAAAAAACATATTTATAATAAATTGTTGGTTGAAAAAAAAGGTTGAATGCTCAATTTGTATTTGTACACATCACATGAACCTTGGTATGTAATATGAAGTCATTATTCAGTCCTAATGTATCTCAGTCCCTGCTGTGGTGAAAGTAGAGTGATAAACACCTATTTTACTCAAAATTCGAATTTAATTTTTTTCATTTTAGACATGAATAACACATTTATATACAGTGTAATTCAAATATTTCACTGCTTTTGTGATCCTACGACTTTGGTAACCAAATCTAAAACACCAAAACAATTCGATCACATGAGTAAATTTGTGTTTTTACAAAAGTTTTGAAGATTTTCCGAAAATCGGATGTCAAATTTTAAGCTTTTGAGCTACTTATCTCATCAAACTCTAATGTGAGTAATTTGCATATATAGCAATACTAGTGATTGTCCTGAACATTTTGATATGTAACACATGGGGTGCCATGTTAGAAGAAATACATTTAAAGGGAGGGAATGCTCATGGTACGCATTTTTAAATAATTATCATCCGATAAAACAGACCAGTCACTGCCAGTCTTTTCTTTTTTTTTTTTAATCCAATGACGTTATCAGTGATTTTAAGCTGATTAATTACCGAAATAACATCAACCCTGTGGGTGGTGCCATTTTACCGGAAGTGACGTAAACTATGCGTTTGGTGTAGAGGACAAATTGATGTTCATGTTGTTTACTCTAGTTACTCTCTCAATTCTATAGAAATATGCCTCATTGTATCGCGAAACATTACCACAATTCGGATAGGAACAATCCACGGAATGCTCGGTTCCATCTATTGCCAACGGGTAAGCGTAGGAAGTACTTCGGAGGCAGTGGCTAGCGAAATGTGCTCGGCCCGAACCGAAAGATCCACAGGCGCATGTATGCAGCGAACATTTCAAGTTTCCAGACGACTACTCTAAGAGTATGATGAAACATAAAATGGGATTTATTAATCAACCATTACTTAATGGGGATGCAGTGCACTGCCAATGCCAGCCAGCGTAAGCACCTTACGCAGCAGACTTTACTTATTGTTTACTACGTAAGAAAGCAGGAATTGCAGGACCCAGAGCGCACGGAGCACAGAGCGGACAGCAGATAACGGAATTGCAGTTTTATTGCTTATAGATTATCAGAACATTTCAAAGGGGACACAGCCACATTGGATATTAACCTATGGATTAACTACATCATCGTTTTTATCGTTGTAATGCCATTGAAGACCAGTTTAGACCAGACAAAGACCAAGCTAAGGCATGTTAGCCTAGCGCATGTTAGTACCTAGCGCCACTTGTTTTGATATACGTTTTTGTTGATAACGTCGCGAGTTTGTATCTTTCAGTGTTGAAGTGAGCACCGTTAGATTCTGTGTCTTTACGATCATAAACGATGTGTTGGATGTGCAGCTAGGATAAGTAATAAGGGAGCTAGGAGTGATTTTCGGTGCAGTAATAGGTTAGCATTTTTCGCTCGGGGCTAATTCAGAGGCTCACTGTTAGCATTGTGTGTTTTTTTTGAAGAAAAAAATGAAAAAGATCAGTTAAATTAGTTTTTTTCCCCGTTATATGGATATAAAAATATTCATAGTTTATTAAATATTAAGGTTCCTTAGACGTTGTTTCCTGCAAATGACGCGATTTCGGCCCCGGAACCGGGTCCGTGGGGCCTAAGAGGATAACAGAGTATGTTTTAAAAAAATTTTACAGTTGTATTTGGATGGAATGAATACCTATAGTGATAATTCAAAGTAAGTCCGCCTGGACTTTATTTTTCTAAACTTCTTCCTCGGCTGACGAGTCCGAACTCAAATACTCTGCCATGTTTTCGTCGTGTGTTTACAAAGTGAACGCATGGATGACGTCACGACCATCACGTGACTACTGAAAATGGCCAAAATGGCAGCTGCCTGACGGAATATACAGGTTTTGATAAAAAAGTAAAATCATTACTATAAAATCATTATTTACCGGGGAATATCGCTGATTTCTTCAGGGTATGGTTTAAACATAATGTTTCACTAAATACTGAAGTTTTGATTAACTATCTAATGACTGGAGCCTTCCTTTAAAAGGTGATTTAAGAAAACATCTAAAAATTGAGAAAATACCCTTAGACTCCAGAGGGTTAAGGACGTACACTCATGCACACATATTAAGTGTTTAAAGGCAGTTCACCCACAGGCCATTTAACTAAATTAAAGCTCTGCAGCAGGTGTTCAGCCTCCTAGGAAGTATACAGGAACATTTTATCAGTGGTACACACAGTTAACCATATTCAGAGTATTTTTTAATTGAGCTTCAAAATGTAAATTAGAATAATTCATCAAAATAAATGTTACCTTTCAACTTTGAAAAGAACGTCTTTAATACAATAACGTAGTATCTGTTCTACATTAGCAAACAATATTCTTAGCCATCACAAGCTTCTAGTTACACCAGACCAAGGCTGCAGCCTGAAACCTTGATTATGTTAGGATCTGTTTATTTTCTGTTTTATTTTGGAATTGTCTAGGACTGTCGGCTTCCTGTTTTTCATTCAAGGATGTTCACCCCCTGTCTGTCATGTGTGTTTCTATTTCGTATATGGCTTCGCCCTCTAAGGCTATCGCTATTGGGTAATCCCCCTGCGCACCCGCGCAGCACTGAAACACTTGTAGTCCACGCCCACCCGCTAGGTGGGCCCCACCCTCGGGCTCCCTTCCGGTATAAATAGGAAGGAGGCCCGACAATCTGCTCCCTCTTTTCTTCAGCACCCCGTTACTGAAGCACAAGAGACACTTCAGTTGCAGAGTAAACATGAGTAACAATTGTGTGAGAGATTGTTCCTCATGT